AAACAGCCATTCACACTGGATAATGTTAGGTCCCGGCCCAGCTCCCCTCGAAGTCTCTTTGACATAGTTCAAAGAGACAGCCTAGGCTCGTCTCAAGCAGGAAAACAGACTGCTTTCAGGGAGGGGTTTATAAAAGCTCAGACTTCCTTTATCTCTTCCTGCCTCAGGCAAATGAGGCATCTGGTTACAAACCAAAGCCCCATGCTAACTTCCAGGTTCCTTCAGCCCCTATTAACCGGTAGCTGTGGTGCATATCAAAGCCACTGGACTCTTCTGGCCCTAAACTTCCAAGTTATTCCAGCTTCGGGTTTCTTCCCTCCAACGCCATAGCTACCTACTCTTAAAAACCTGCAAGCCCCCAGCCCTTAAACTTCTCTCTCCACTCCCTGAGAGGCTGCCCCATGGCAGCTTTGGACATCCCCAAATGCCTCTGGCGATTCTCTCTACCACCTGAGAGACAGGCATATGAGTTTGGTGTTTACAAAAACAATAATCCTGTCTTTACACCCATGGAGTGGTCCATTTCAGTGGCTCACCATGCGCTCACAGATGAAACTTGCTGAAGAGAAATTTCACAGGCTGGGCATGGTGGCACAAGTATGTGATGCCAACAATTGGGAAACTGAGGCACAAGAACTACATGAGCTCAAGGCCAGCTCGGACTACATAGGATAAGGCTTTTGACTCAAAGGCTATTTTTGTCTGTGTAAATGCAGTAAATGTTGACATCTTCAGTAATGGCTCAAACACAAAAAAACCTTATTCGAGGAAAATGCTGTAGTTTTAGGGGTGCTTATACTCCTCACTTGTACCTAATAAGTATCAAAGAATTCATGCCAGAGCATGTATGTGTGTGTGTGCGTGTATGTATATGTATGTGCATATATGTGGTCAGTACCTGCAAAAGCCCAAAGAAGGCACTTGATTTCCCTGGATCTATAATTACAGGAAGTTGTCAGCTGCCCAATGTGGGTGCTGAGACCTGAACCCCAGTCTTCTGCAAGAGCAGCAAACACTCTTAACCACACTTAAGACACATCACTAGTCCATTTTCTGTCTGCACACTAGGATGGAACTCTTCAACAACTTAAAAAGAGTATGTTACTGACGGGCGTTGGTGGCGCACGCCTTTAATCTCAGCACTCGGGAGGCAGAAGCAGGCAGATCTCTGAGTTCGAGACAGCCTGCCTGGTCTACAAGCGAGTTCCAGGACAGGGTCCAAAACAATACAGAGAAACCCTGTCTCTCGAAAAAACAAAAAACAAAACAACAACAACAAAAAAATATGTTACTATAAACCCAGTGAAAACTCACCAGGAGATCCCAGATGCTGATGGGAAAGTTACTGTTGTTTTTTTTTTTTGTTGTTTTTAATGGACATAGTGTACATGCCAAATTGCCTTCTAAATGGCCATACTTTAATGCCCATAGATTACTGTTGCTATCAGCTTTGGTCACAGAAGCTTCTTTTTACAATAGTTAGTGGTGATTTCAGAGACTTAGTAACTGTTCAGAAGCCAGGCGGTGGTGGCACTCACCTTTAATCCCAGCACTCAGGAGGCAGCAGGTGGAGCTCTGTGAGTTCAAAGACAGCCTGATCTACAGAGTTCCAGGACAGCAAAGGAACAACAAAGGCTACGCAGAAAAACAAATGCCTATAGCCATAAATGGACATGCAAGGGACAGGGAACATCACAGAACTAGGGCCAGGCAGAACGCATGAGCTAAATTCCTACCTAATTCTACATTTGGCTCATACAGTTGAAAAGATCTGTCAGTCTGTTACAGTCGATATGAATTCCAGGGGCTGGAGACCATACATGCACATAAACATTTTTTTTAACCTGAGGGGAGAGTGCTAATGCTCTTGCAGAGGACGGTTCCCAGCATCCACATAGGCTGGCTTAAAGCCATCCAAAACTCCAGTTCCAGATCTTCTCAACTCCATAGGCATTTGCACATAAGTGCATTATTTCTGCATACATACTTCTTCAAAAATATAGTATCGGCCAGGAGAAACAGCCATGCAAACTCACATGGTGGAAAATGTTTACATAATCACACATCACATCACACAGCTGGTGCAGCGCACGTGTACACACACATCCTCCGAACCCCACCCGAACCTTCTGTACCCTCACTCACGTCCAGATCATGTCTTAGTCAAACACTCCAGTTCAAGCTTCAGACTGAGTTACCTCTAGCCTCCTAGCAACGTATTCCCATGTTTTTATTTTTGAGAATTATGTGTATCTATGTGTGAGCATATACAGCTGACTGGCGACACCAGAAGAGGGCATTGGATCCCTCTGGACTTGGAGACACTTGTGAGCACCCAGACTTCTTTTGGACTTGAGTCCTCTTCAAAGTCTTAACTAGAGCCAGCCCCTTCCTATCTTCAGTTCATTATGTTAATATCAGCAAACATTACTGTGTATGATCCAACTGAGCAATGCTTAACATTTACGTAAGAATGTAATCCAGCCTTTGAAGTGAGGTACAGGAGATAAACTACAGCACAAATGGTGTATTTTCCTTCCTTTTCCTTCAGACAGTCTATGTAGCAATGGTTGTCCTGGAACTTCTATGTAGACCCAGCTGGCCTTGAAGACACTCACCTTAATGTGGACACGTACAATCACACATTTTGTTCTCTTGGTTTCTGGAAACTACAAACCTTGGAAACACCAACATTGCAGACAGCTGTTTCTTCCTCAGGATGAATCTGAAAGCTGGCTACTGCCAACAAGGCAATCACCTTTCCTCTAAATACTTCTCAGCCCCTCGTTTCAACATAACCTCAGAACAGAACCCTGAAATTCTTATCCAAGGACTGCTTTTGGATGCTTACTTCTGCTAATAAAATTATGTAGAAGTGAACCCTGAAATTCTTATCACAAAGACTGCTTTTGGATGCTTACTTCTGCTAATAAAATTATGTAGAAGTAAACCCTGAAATTCTTATCCAAAGACTGCTTTTGGACGCTTACTTCTGCTAATAAAACTATATAGAAGTGAGATGAGTGAGGTGGGTCAGCAGGTTAACAGCAGCTGCCACCAAGCTCCAGGGCTTCCATTTGATCCCTGGGACACATATGGTGGACCAGAACTAATACATGCAGGCTCTCCTCTGGTCAGATCCACCCCAAGATCTCATGTGTGCTAGTCAGGAATGCTGCCACTGATCTGTATCTCTCAGACCTAGAGGAACACACAAATACCTCATTTTTTAAAAGCTTCCTATCGCCGGGAGTTGGTGGCTCACACCTTTAATCCCAGCACTCGGGAGGCAGAAGCAGGCGGATCTCTGTGAGTTCGAGGCCAGCCTGGTCTACAGAGGGAGTTCCAGGACAGCCTCCAAAGCCACAGAGAAACCCTGTCTCAAAAAACCAAAAAAAAATAAATAAATAAATAAAATAAAAGCTTCTTATCTATTGTTCTAGTCATAAGTCAAAATTTGCCCTCCACTAAATAGATGTGAAGCACTCTCTCCTGCTCTCTCTCTCTCTCTCTCTCTCTCTCTCTCTCTCTCTGTGTGTGTGTGTGTGTCTCATTCTCTCTCACACACACAGAAGAAATGACAAAACACTTAATGACTTGTAAGGCGGAGGACAGTGGCAAGGCCAGCAGTGACTCTAATGTACTTTGAAGTTGAGCATCTGTAGAGGAAAACATTAGGAGGGAGTTAATGGTTATGTGATCACTACATACATACACTACTAGAGTTGTGCATGCATGCCAGAAGTCACATAGGCCTGGAATACAGCTCAATATACTCCCTTAACAAGTACCAGGTCCTAGTATTCAAACCCAACACCACAAAAATTATGGTCAGGAACTATTATAAAATTAAGAGATTAATTTTTCATTGTGCCAGTTCATAATATTGAAAGAAAACCTTAAAATTTTAAGTTATACACAGCTAAGCAGGACAAGGGGGACAGAGACTTCATATTTGGAATAACAAGAATTCATTTATGCGCCAGGCGGTGGTGGCACACGCCTTTAATCCCAGCACTCAGGAGGCAGAGGCAGGCGGATCTCTGTGAGTTCGAGGCCAGGCTGGACCGACAGCCTCCAGAACAATATACAGAGAAACCCTGTCTCGTAAAACCAAAAAAAGAATTCATTTATGCATCTAGGCAGACAATTCATGGTTATGCCACCAGAGTAAGAAAAGATAAATGGTAATGTAGCCACATGAATGAATCTCTTTTTAAAAACTTTGAGATTAACATATGTAGATGTATGTTAACATGTGATATGGGAGGGGCAGCAGGATGGCTCAGCATATAAAGGTGCTTGTCACCAAACCTAAAGACCTCAATTTGACCCCCGGAACCCACATGGTTCAAGTAGTGAACCAAATTCTACAGGATTCCCCTAACCTGGCATGCACACCGCCACCCACCCACCAACCACACAAGGTATAAAGAAGCTCCAAGTGCTGGTAGCCAGCTGTCAATCAAGTACTTGCCTAAACTCCATTCCTTGAACCAAGCTGAGGGAGGGGGAGAGAAAGAAAACGCTGGTTTGGTGGTGCGCGTGTATGGTCCAGCTTTGGTGAGCAGGCGGAGCAGGCCAATCCCTGGGACCTGCTGTCAGACAGCTGAGGTCTGGGCCAGTGAGACGTGGACGGAGCACGGGCACATGAGGTTTCACTCTGGCTCCCACAAACACGCACATCCACATGCAGTACACATGCACCCACCCCACACAAAACTTAATCCTTTGTACCCAATTACATTGTGATGACAAAGGTGGAGTTTTAATAATCATCAGGAAGGCCCAAAGGGTCTGAGTCACTCACCCTAACACCCCTTGGGAAAAGAAACAAGTGTTTGTCAAAACAGAGGAATGAAACACTGAATGTCCAATGATGCCCATGCACCTAAGCTTAAGTTTCTTAGATTTCCTACGTTCAAATGACCTTGCAAAAATACTAGAAATGTAACAAGACCATACTCAATACAGTGAAATAAAGTTGAAAGATTTAAGCATATGTTGCCATTTTAAATTTTAATAAAATAGATAATTTCATTACATAGAGTGTCAAGTCCAACCACTCATTGTTAAAGTTTTAGAAATATCATCTATAAAAGCTTGGTATTTGATAGGGAATCAGTCAACTATAACATTTCTACAGGTAGAGTTCCCACCTTTACCTCCACTCTTATTTTGAAAAATACAGAAAAGTACAAAAAATAAGACATGATATCCATATAACACAACCGAAAGTTAGCCAGTATCTTCATATATTGACTTGCAGTCTTTAAGAGAATGGATGCTTCTATAAAAAGCTGAGGCCCTCCCCACCCCCACACTCACTCCCTTCCCTTCTCACTCATATTCAGTTGGTCTGCAGCCTTCTGATGCTTCTCATTTACATACCCAAATGCATTTATGCCGTGATAACTGAGTCTCAAGAAGGAATCTTTAGCTTGGCAGAAAGTCACTGTACTACATGCATCATTCTGCAACTTGAGTTTCCCTGCGTCCCTTCCAGAATCCTTCCAGTTACACACACCTTGTCTGCTGCATCTGCCAGATGTCTGCATAACAGTCCACCTAAAAGCTTCTCGTTCCATTCCTAACGAGTGTTAACTTCTAATATTTGGCTACTCTAAAGGATACATGTCCTGGTACCTAACCTCCTGAGCATAATCACTCATGAGAATTACTAAGTATTTTCAAATGTTACAAGGAATGTTTTCCTACTCCCAAGGTCAGAACCTTGTTTAATGTATACCATTTTTCCATTTCTGCTTTCAATTTCCACATATTTTACTTGTACTGCTGTTTTAAAGTCTGTGGCATGTAGCTTTGCTCCTCAAAGAACAATCTGCCTCCAAACATAGTCTTGGTGTTCATCGGAAGCAACTCTTTTTGTATTCTAAATCTTGGTAAATGCATAGTTATCATCCTATAATTTCTGTCCTCTTGAAATTATGTTTAATATTACTGCATGATCATATAATTTATCTTGTTTCTTCTAACACAGCTTACTTATTAGACTGGTGAAGACTTCCAGATCTATGCTGATAGCAGTAACAGCCCTGTTCTCCACACTCAATTTTAGAGAACTTGTAAAGTTTCAGCACTGGTTTTGTTTTCTGTTATGTTCACTGAGTGCAGGCTTTAGTCATACAAACTTCTTCCCCCTCAGTATGAATTCTCCGGCGTTCATGACATTTTCTGTTCAATGTTTGGCTGACTTGTGGTGTGTGGCCTCTTACTGAACACTGCCCCACACTGAAGATATTCAGTGTTTAATGCGTGTGGATTTTCTGGTGTCTAATGTGGTGAGACTTCTGGCTGAAAGCCTTCCCACACTCACTACACTGGTAAGGCTTTTTACCTGTGTGTATCCTCAAATGCAGGGCCAGGGTTGAGAACTGAGAAAAGGCTTTCCCACATTCATTGCAACCATAGGGCTTCTCACCGGTGTGGCTCCTCACATGCACGGTTAGAGACGAACTCTGAGAGAAGGCTTTTCCACAAACATTGCATTCGTAAGGTTTATCACCCGAATGAATTCTCACGTGCACAATAAGTGACGTTCGCTGAGAGAAGGCTTTTCCACACTCATTGCATTCATAGGGTTTCTCTCCAGTGTGAATGTTTTGATGCTTTATGAGGTACTTTTTCTGGCCAAAAGCTGTTCCACATTCATTACATTTAAAGGGTTTCTCACCAATATGAATTTTCTCATGCTCAGTAAGATTTGATTTGCCACTAAAGGTTTTCCCACACTCCTTACATATGAACGGTTTCTCTCCTGTGTGAGTTCTCTGATGTCTGATGAGGTTTGACTTCTGAATGAAAGCTTTCCCACAATCTTTGCACTCAAAAGGTTTCTCTCCAGTGTGAATTTTCTGATGGGTAAGCAAGTTTTCCTTCTGGCTAAAGGACTTTCCACAATCATTACACTCAAAAAGCTTCTCTCCAGTATGAGTGTTCTGATGCTTAATGACATACTGCTTTTGACTAAAGGCTTTTCCACATTCATTACATTCAAAAGGTTTCTCTCGATTATGAAAATGCTCGTGCTCTGTAAGATTTGACTTGTGGCTGAAGAGTTTCCCACATACCTTACAGGCAAAGGGGCTTCCCCCACTTAAAATTCTCTGCTGACTGAGGTGTGACATCTGAATGGAAACTTTATCACATTCACAAGGTTTATCTCCAGTTACGAAATCTTTGAGAACCGAGAGATTACTCTTGGCTGAGAATATTTCCACATCTCCTGTAGTTTTAAGGCTTCTGTATCTGACCACTCATGCAAATGCAGGGTAAGGGACAAGGCTTGAGAACTTTATCAGCATAAACCTTTCTTCCCAGTGTAAGCTTTCTAATAGTCAATGTTGGTTTTGCAGATTTCACTTGCTTTTCTCCAGCATGAATTTTCTGATGTTGAAAAGTCTGTCATCTAGCTAAAGGCTTTTCAGTATTTCTTAGAAACACAGGGCTTCCTCTCAGCATGACTTCTATGTTCAGTGAGATGTGACACTTGAGTAAATGCTTCTCTACAGTTGATAAATTCATAGGCTTTTCCTCTAGTCTGTGTGCTCTGCTAACAAATGGGGCAGTATTTAAACTGCAGGCATTCCCACACAGGCATTTCCTGGTAAGATAGTCTTACCAGGAGGCTATGGTAGAGGATTTCCAAACTCTACAAAAACGCATGATTCTTTCCCATACAACTTCCTGTTAAAATCTAAATTACGTTTCAAGCTCAAAACCTGAAGCTTTGAAAAATGGTTTGCCCTTTAAAAAGCAAAGTCTGTTCTGAAAAACAGAAGGAAAAGAAATGAAGTCTGTGAGCAAAGATGATTCCAGTTTTCTTGCATTCACACTTTCCTTGGTGGACTCAACTGGCCTCCCAGATCTTGATGTTGCTCGATGTACTTGTCTTTTTCTCAGCCGCTTCTACAACAGATCACAAAGAATCATTTAAAGGAACATGGGTAATATATGGTAAGCACTCAACAAATACTTCCTGTAGGTTGGTTAGTGTTACCTAAATATTCCCCCATTATCTAACGCTAGTGTGCACAGTATTAGAAGGTGCAACCTTTCAAGAGAAGGAAGCAACAATAATTGTATGCAGCTACGACACCTATGAATCCTAACAACCAACAACAGCGGCACTCATACCTGGGTAGTAACCAACAGCCATCTATTGGACTTAAGGCATGCTCAACAGGAGGAAAACAATGCCTGGTACTGCGAACCTGGCCAACTACCTAGGGTCTTAAACCTACCACTGCCACTTTACTACATCAGTCTCGTCCCTAACTATACTCTAAATACTTATCCTTATATCCACAGTTAAGTGTGGCTCTCACTCATCGTCAAATATACTTCTCTTTACAACAGATAGAGACCATCACAGAAAACCACAACTGGTCAAAACCCACAGAACAACTGATCGTGGAATGTCCAGCCCCAATAGACACAACTCTTGCACCTAAGGCTCCATGAACATCATGGAAGAGGGGTTGGGAAGACGGTAAGAACCAGAGGATCAGGCAAACCACTGTAAGATTGTGTCTCCTAGAAACGACAGGGAAGCTTTACCCTAGATACCCAACAAAGGCTGCCTGGACAGGACTTGAACAAGTAAAACACCAACAGACATGTTAACACGAAAGGGAGAAATCTCATCTGACCTCACCCTAAACAAAGAACTACAGGCAACTAAGGAATGCGGAGAACAATCATCTTCCCCAGGGATAAGCCCTCTCATTGGTTATCCAACTGTCCATCCCTGAAATGGACTGAGCACACGCGCGCCCATGGTATACACACGTACCCATGTGTGTGTACACACACACACACAGAGAGAGAGAGAGAGAGAGAGAGAGAGAGAGAGAGAGAGAGAGAGAGAGAGAGAGAGAGAGAGAGAGAGCGCATGAATCTGGGAGGGAACAGGGGGAAGAAATGGGAGAGACTGGAGAGCTGGAGAAATATATATATTCCCCAATATGAGCAATAAAAGTTCAGAGGCATGTTTGCCTAGCATTCATAAGGTTCTTGCCCAGTCTGTGAACTCCTGTCACTAGCACCTAGGAAGTGGTAGCAGGATGATAACCTCAAACCACCTTTGCTTGCATAATGAGTCCATGACTACCCTGAGAGCTACAAAACTGATATTCATGAGAATACTCCTGGAAAAAACAAGTTTCCATTTAAGGAATTAGTTATTGCATAACAATGAGAAATCATTCAACATGATAAAATGACTACACAAAAATAAGGTAATTATCACTCAACTAACACAAGTTCACAGAAAACAATTTGCAGAAGTTGATTCTTTCCTTCTATGGATAGAACTCAAGTTGGGTTTTTTGTTTGTTTTGGTTTTTCGAGACAGGATTTCTCTGTATTATTTTGGAGGCTGTCCTGGAACTCGCTCTGTAGACCAGGCTGGCCTGGAACTCACAGAGATCCACCTGCCTCTGCCTCCCGAGTGCTGGGATTAAAGATGTGCGCCACCAATGCTCGGCCCAGAACTCAAGTTGTTAAGCTTGGTGGCAAGTGCCTTTACCCACTAAGCCACCTCACTGGTCCTAACTTTTTAAAAATGCAAACCATATGGTAGATTTTCAAAGCATACAGGGCTTATTAAAGGAAACATAAAATGTAGCTACCAAGATGCAAATGTCAAACAATCAAACTGGGCTGTACCACAAAATATCAGGAAAAAAATGAAGGGACTCAAGTATCTAAAAAAGTGGACTGAAAGACGGGAGAAGAAAAGATATGAAAAACACTGAAATCTCTAAAGCTGTGCTGCCCAGAATCCTAACACTTCGACTCTTTAACACAGTTCCTCATGTTGTGGTGACTTCTAATCATACAGTTCTTTTCTTTTCTCTCTCTCCCTTTCTCCACCACCCTCCCCCCCCCTTCTGTTTTTCAAGACAGGGTTTCTCTGTAGCTTTGGAGCCTGGCCTCCAACTCAGAGATCTGCCTGTCTTGACCTCCCCAGTGCTGGGATTAAAGATATGCACCACCACCACCTGGCTATACAATTATTTTTGTTGCTACTTCGAAACTGTAATTTTGCTGTTACAAATCATAATGTAAATATATGATATGCAGGATATCTGATATGCAACCACTGTGAAGGGTGTCTGGACCCTTCACAGGTTGAGAACCACTCCTCTAAAGGATTCTGAGTGTGGTGGCACACACAGGCTTAGAGTCCCACCACACAGGAAAGTGGACGGGGGGGGGGGGGACGGGACGGGACGGGACGGGGGCCGAGGCTGAAGGACGGGGTTTCAGGTCATTCTGGTTAGGTGAGTAAATTTGAGGCCAGCCAGGGCTACATGATACTGTTTGCAAAAAAAGCAATTAAGAGAGTAAGGACTGCCCGGGGAGGGCAGCGGTGGCACACGCATTTAATTCCAGCACTTGGTAGACAGAGGTGGGCACATCCCTGTGAGTTTGAAGCTAGTCTGGTCTACACGGCAAGTTCCATGACAGCCCAGGCTAGATTGGGTGGGTGAGTGGGTGGGTGCTGTGAGAACTGAATTGGTAAAAGGGAGATGAAATAGAGTAAAGAGAACAAGGTCTCTTTACTATTTATTAACTTGTCATTTGCTGGTAGAAGCTTAATGACATTCAGAGACTATACCAAGGAAATATAATAGTGGAATAAAAGAAATCCCAAAAAAGGGATAAAACTTATTAGAGGAAAGAACTCAAGAATAAAAACTTATCTTTGTTTCTGGGTTTTTGTTCTGAGATGGGGTCTTTCTTGGCCATGTAGTTCTGACTGATATAGAATTTGCTATGTAGACCATGGTGGCCTTGAACTTGCATGGAAATTTTTGCCTCTGTCTCATACATTATGGGCATGTGTCATCACAAGCAACAAATTTTGGAGGGGCAGAGGAGGCAGGCTCTCTTGTAGCCAAAGATGACCTCTAACTTGGCTATGTAGCAGGGGCTCTCCATCCTTCAGTCCCTGCATTCCCAATTCAGGTATGCAACACTGTATCTAATTTAAAAGGGCTCACTTAGTACTTGAACAATAAATAAGCTACATACATATAACCTATGACTATGATCTTTTATTTTAAAAAGTTATGGTTTTGGCTTTATTGACACAGAATCTTTTATATAACTCAAGCTGGACTTGTGAACTCCTGATTCTCTGAATACTATGACATTTTTCATAATCATTTATAATCATCTAATTCATGACAATCATAACAGAAGTATTTTCAGAAAGTAACATGGTATCACTGAATGAAACAGAACTCAGACTGGCATGAAAGGACCAAGAAATATGCAGGCTGGTAAGACGGCTCGGTAGGGACCTACCTACACAGTTGGAAGAGAAGACAACTCCATCAAGTTGTCCTGAACCTCTACACGCATGATGTAGTGCACACAATTGCACAAACACAAAATCAAAACAACAAAGCGCATACATAGAGGGTAGGAGAGGCTCAGCAGTTAGGAGAACTGCTGCTCTTTTGAGTCCTGGAGGGGGTGTGTCACTGTCATGGGTTTTGAGGTTTCAAAAGCCCACATCAAGCCCAGTCTTGCTCCCTCTCTGCCTACATCTTGTGGATAAGATATAAACTCTCAGGGCTGGAGAGATGGCTCAGCAGTTAAGAGCACTGTCTGCTCTTCCAGAGGACCCGGATTCAATTCCCAGCACCCACATGGCAGCTCATAACTGTCTGTTAACTCCAGTTCCAAAGTACCCGACACCCTCATGCAGGCAAAACATCAATGAGCATAATTTTTTAAATACGTGTATTTATGCATGTATGTGCATATGCATATAATGTATATATACCTGTAATCCCAGCCCTCAGGAGGCAGAGGCAGGCAGATCTCTGTGAGCTAGAGGCCAGCCTGGTCTACAGTGCTAGTTCCAGGATAGCCAGGGCTACACAAAGAAACCCTGTCTGAAAAACAAAACAAAAGAAAAAGCAGAAGACAAAGAAAAGAAAGGATACCTACAACGCACATAAATGTGGAAGAAAACCAATCTTACAGATTTTACTCTGACCGCCACATTTTCCCATGGCACCCGTGCACCATCTACATACCGCACAGACAAGGATAATTTTGTTAAAATGGAAACACTTAAAAACTCCAAATGACATCAGAATAAAGCACATGTTCACGGATATGAGTGTCTAACATAAAGACGCTGCTTTCCTCTAAATTATTTTATAAATTTAATAAATCACAATAGCAATTTTGGGGGACATCTCCTTCCAGAACTGGACAAGCAAATCCTAAAATGCACATGAAAAAACTAAGCCTACAATCCTAGCTTCTCAGGGGCCTCAGACAGGAACAGCCTAAGTGTACCACTGGCTTATGTGCGTGCTGGGGATCTGAATTAAGGTTCTCATGCTTGCATGACAGGCACTTCACTGATTGAACCAGCTACCCAGCCCTTCGGTAGTTTCTATAAAATAACAAAGACCAACCTTAAGGCCTGAATGTATACAACCTTGGGTAGGGACTCATTCCTCTACCAAACATTTTCTGGGGATCTTAAAGAAGACTACTTTTTTTTTTTAGCAGAAGCTAGCCTAAGTTACTGTCTCCCTGTGAGAAAGCTTTACTTTATCACTTGTAATCCTGCCATGTGTACCTCAATAAACCCCCTAAGGTTCCTTGGCAATTCTTTGAAGCAATCCTTTGAAGACAATGGCTGTAAACCCCACCGATATGGTCTATGTGACTACCACAGTAAAAATGAGATACAATTCTTCTTTGACAAGCCCACACACATGCTCTGAAATGTCTTCATTCCTGGGTACCTTTTTACCTCTTTCTATTTTTAAACCTGAATTAAAATATCTTGAGGATAAGGATGTGTGACTCAGTTGGAAGACTGCTTGCCAAGCATACAGGAAGCTCTGAGTTCAATCCCTTGCAACACATAA